AGGAGGATCAAGCAGCTGTTATCATGACTTTATCGCATCACATTTCTCAAGGGTTTTTTTCCCAATCCTTTTAAAAATTTATCACGCAAGTTTTCTTTAAAGTCTGTTGCAACAAATAAATGTTTCTCCATCACATGATGCAGAGATGGAAATAGTCATACACACAAAAACACACACAAAAGCACACTTCTGGGAAACAGGGATTAGTAACTGATACTAAGAGGTGGAAGAGAGCAGCTTCCCTCTGTGGCCTCTTAAACCAGATGTAACCAGCTGGCACACACACACACACACACACACACACACACACACACACACACACACACACACACACACACACACACACACACACACACACACACACACACACACACACACTCAGCTCTCAGTGACCAGGCGTGTGGCCAGAACTTTTGTCCTTTTCTCCTTTTCTTAAGCCAAATAAAGTGGAGAGAGAGAGAGCTCACAGTCGTGCTTCTGTACATTTCTCTCTGGTAGAAGATAAGAGCGTTTCTTTGATTTAATTCCACTTATTTCAGATGGTTTGATGAAACATTTTAAGTTTCGATTTTAAAAAAGCACATAAGTTGTCAGAAATGAACTCCCCAGATCTCAGGGTCAGGGTACTGTGGATGAAGTCACTGTGGCCCAAAAAAAAATGACAGCTTGTTTGTGTGTTTTCAAAAACACAGCTGACTGAATGTGTGAAGTGTGTAACTGGTGGTGTGTGTCTCTGTTTAAGCCAGAACCGAGATCTGGGGGAGTGAGTGTGATGTGATGTTGAAGTAGTAACTCCGGGGAGTCAAGTTCATCAGATATGCTCAATGAGTCATGGGAGCAGGGGGAAGATAGCTCTCTGGAGTTTTAGTGGGAAATACATTGAGTCATAATCCCACCTGTTGTTTTCTGACCACTCTATTCTTTATAACTCCACGAGCTTCTTTGTGTTTACTCAGTTGTGTTGGAGAAAGATAAAAGAGGGCAAATGAATGAAATGTACCAATCCCTCCTTGTGTTAAAACTTTGTGTGTTTGTACCATGGGAAATTTAAAAATCCACCAGTACAGCTCTGCATGTATATCAGGGTCATAATGTTTAAAGATGTGGGTGCCCAAGAGGATGGGTGAGGCCAAGGGCTGGTCATTGCTGATAAATGCCTCTATACTGTATATTCAGATGTCTATGGGAACACTCAGCTCTTATTGCAATCAGAAAAGTAGAACACATACCATTCCACTGTGTTAAATTTACTACTATGGGATTTTTTAGATATTGTTCATAGAGATCAAAATACATAACATCTTAATGTCTGATCTATTAGGGAAAGCAGTAGGAAACATATACAAAGTCTGACTAGTGATTTTCAATTGCTTTGGTTTATTTGGAGCTCTGTATGAGGGGTTTCTTTCACATTTATGAAACAGACAGAAATTCATGTTGATGCCTTGATATTATATTCAACAGCAAAAAAAGACAATTAATGACAAGTTTGGCAATTTGTGCATTGTCATTTAGCAAAGCCTGAAACCAGTGTGAGGGGGTAGGTGTCAGCCGAGTAACAAAAAGTTCCTTACAGCTTTAAGAGAATCTATTTTTCTTGTTTGTTTTGTGTGTTTCCTCGTTATACTTGTGGGTAAATATCTGCTGCTAAACCTTTTATTTAAGAACCCTGAGCCTACCAGAGGAAACCAGTAACATACAGGTTTTTGTATTCATCAAGTGGCTGTGTGAAAAGCACCCGATGTCACCAAATTTTCTCTTAGCTACACACAGTACCTTTGATCAAGCAGGTCAATTTTGAAACAAATGGAACACTACCTAAAACAGGTCACATAACCTGTTTCCAATCACCACCATTGCAATAATGCATCATTAGAGGTAGCAAAATCATGCTGTGACCTGAAAATGAAATCAAAATGGCTGCTTTCTTCTCAGGATTTGGTTATTGGTGCAAGAGGTTTTTTTGAGGGTGCTGACACAGTGAATATGCACTCCAAATCTCCTACAAGTAACCTCCAGGGAGACCCCGTTTTGATAATGTAAGAAGGTTACCATTTCATCGCTCTCATTTAATATTACATCTTTCACCATACCTGATGTGTGTGTAGAGTTTATATCAGAGCTGCCAAATACAGGATTCATTGCAAAGTAGAAAAAACAAGATAAAGACAGAAATACTTCTTGCATACTTGTAGGGTCCAAGCACTGCTTTGGGTGCCAAAAAGTTGATCAAAGATAGTCCTAGGACTACTAAAAGACTACCAGGAGACACTTATGTCACAAGGAGCCAAAAACTTTCGCAATGAGATGCAAGAGGAAATAGAAAAAACACAAAACAAGCAGATTGGATTGCACAGCAAAGAGAAACAAAGTGCCTGAAAATCACACAGATGCTAGTTTCTGCTCATGGGCTGATGGGAAGCTGTTTTCATATCAGCGCAAAAGAGCTTATAGTGTTATCATCTGCTTATGTGTAGGATTGTTAGCATCTGCATATTAGCACTGAGATTCTACAAATCCATCTTAGACAGTGTTTTAAACAAACTATAAATACTAGATGTCAGCTGTAGGTTCATCTGATGGTGGGTGTTTGTTCATATGATCTGTGCTTCATGCTGACACTTCCTCTGCTGACGCCGGTTTTCTTCTCTCCGTGCCTGTAGGGTAGGAGATAACTTTTATCACAAGATCTTCACGAATGTCAAAAATATATTTGTGTAAACAAAAAAAGCTTTTTTCTAAGTAACTACAGTGAGTATATAAAGACTGGCTCGTGTTTCAGTGTCTGATCAGTTTCAGTATCGCTGTCTCAGTTTGGACAAAGCTCTTATTAAACACATGATCCTGGATTAGAGCAGGAAGAGTGGTCTCTCTTAATGCATGTGACAGCTGAACAACAGCTCTTTCATTTACACAACGTAGACAAATATGAAACTCTCTGCAACGTTGTATATCAGCAAACTATAATGAAAGTCACACATACTTGATATCCTCATTGTGAAAGCAAACATTTCAACTCCACAGCAGATTTTGGATTTAAGCCTGAAAGCCTCACCAAAAGTATAAGAAGCACATTTATATCCACAGCCAGTGTGTTAAATAAACTATGTTCAGTGTTAAAGATTATATTGGTGCATGTCCATTTACTGCACCATCATTATGTTTGTAAAGTTATTCTTTAATTTTTGGTTTAGGTTTAACTCTGAATCATGCAACCAAAAGAAAGTCTATTCAGTGCGGGGGATTGTGTTTCAGGTCCTGCAGCTAAAATTGTTTGACTGAATTTCCAGCAGGATCCTGTGACCTGCTCAGTGACTTACTAAATAAAGAAGATAAAGGGACGCGGTGGGAAAATCACAGGATTACATGTTCAATTTGTTAGAGTCAAAGGATGGAAAAAAGAGGATAATGGACTTCCTCAAACTTAATTTAAACCTAAAGAGAAAAAAGAGGAGCCACATCTCACCTTTGAGTGACACTTTAACTAAAATATAGTTTCAGCATGAAACTCTTGGTCTTTTTATTATTTCATCAGAAGCTGTTGCATGTTTATATTTCCCACTTTTGTAGCTCCCCATTGGCTTACATGAATGTTGATACATATGACTGGACAGTGATTTTTTTCCCATTTTTCAAATTGTTTTTTGTCTTAAAGTCACCCGATATGATTGTTTGTTTAGTGTCTGTTCTATTATTACACAGATGGAGGCCACAAACTGAAATACTAGTCTAAGAACAAAGTTGTCCCTTTTCCTACAGGTGTTTAGAGAGTTTCAATCCCGCACACTTCTCTTCCTTCTCTGTGTAGCATCCTTCATAACAGGTTCCCTTTCAGAACAGTCTGATTTAGTCTGAAACATGTAGAAACATGATACAATCAGTATGTGTAAACATGCAAACTAAAATGGACAACAAAATGTCTGTTGAATGATGTAAGGTGAAGTTAACTGTAAAACCAAAGGCGCTGTGTTTAGGCATCAAGCAAACAACTTGTCAACTATGTAACACAAGTCTTGGACACTTCACAGCATATGAATTAGATTTAGGATCTAGGATGAAGGACACATGAACACTGGGATAGTTTGTCAGAATTTTGGGTAGAGGAAAGAGAAATCAGGAGGGAGATGAGTAAGGGCTTACAGGCTGATAAACACATCTTTTTCTTTTTCCAGGGAGGGACAGACATGAGAAAAACGAAAGAAAAAGAGACTGAAAAATGTAGATGTGATGTAAGAGCAGCAGTAAGTCTGCAGATTGGACAGCTGCTTATTTCCACTTCTGCCTTATCTCTGACCACACCTCTGTGTGTGTGTGTATGTGTGTATGTATGTGTGTCTACTGTACATACTGTACCTCTGAACCACTATGTGTAAACTAGTCCTAAAGTGCATGATTTGTGCTGTGGTGTGTCAGTGTTTCAGGTGTTTGCCTCCCTGATAAACTCTCATTAGGTTGCATTACTGTCAGTACACTTTGCACAAAGAGGAGATTTTTCTTGGAGAGATAGGGAAAAAGAAGAGTCAAGGGACTGGGGCGGAGACAGGACAGGAAGTGACAGTGGGAAGTAAAGAAAAAGTGGAAAAAGGCCACACAAAAGGTAAAAAAAGAGGAAAGGATAAAGGAGAATAAAGGATGTGGAGAGTTTTCCTGTTTGACATGGGGATCATGATTCGGATAAATTACATGCACGTGCACACACACACACACACACACACACACACACACACACACACACACACACACACACACACACACACACATACACAAACACACACACGAACACATGCACACAGAGGATGTGCCTGGAGCTGACACGTTAGTACATCCTGCCAGTAAAAGAACAGCTGACAGTGACATCCTCCTGTATCAATTGTGTGTGTGTGTGTGTCCATGTGAATCCCTGTGTTGTTTAAAGGGATATTTCAGCGTAAAGTGAAGTTAGGGTCAAATACACTGTAACACTGAGTCAGACACCCCGTCGAGAGATGAATGTTGCCGACCGCTTGCGTCTCTAGATTACTAGAGAAGCAAGCGTATTTACCAACTTTAGTAATGACAGCAGATAGCAATACAGAGAGCCACACGCTCAACCAAAACGTCACTCTATAGCCACAAATAATGCTCAGAACAGCACCTAACTTAATCAACAGTATATATAGGGTCCCAGCCATAGTACTAGTCACCAAACATCTTTTTAACTTTGCCTAATTTCTTTAGCAAAGAGACTAAACACAACTCACCCACTCTCTTCCAGCAGCCACTTGTTTGAATGGAGACCTCCAGGCGAGTCCATCGACATTTTATGCCAGAATGTCCCTTTAAGGGTCATGCCAACGTACAGAGTACCTTACATTGTTTGTGTATCAATCTGTGCATGTTGGTGCAATATAGTTTGTTGTTAAGTGAGAGGTTTGATTATGTAACGGTCAAATCCTACTCCTTGCTCCGCTTCCTGCATTTACTCTCTCTTCAGCTGTCCTATCTAATAAAGACAAAACACAAATATGGACCATGAAATATAAATCGAACCTTAATGAGAGTGTTTTAAGCTCTCTTGCCATCATAATGATCCAAAGTCTACAAAGTCATTACTGAAGCATGTGTGCGTGTGTACAAGTCTGTGTTTGGTTGGATGTTGATGAGTGCTGTGCTCTGAAAAGGCAATGCGGCCACGGCATTTTCGACAGCAAGAGCATGGGATCAAAAAAAAAAAAATCTTGATGAATACTTACTGTGTCTGACTACAACCTGCTATTGTGGTTTAGCTTTCTATATAAGACCTTTGGCTAGACACCGTACACACACACAGACACACAAAGTTTTCTGTATGTACAATTGTAGAGCAGGTCTAGCTGGACTCCTGCGGTTCTCCTCCTCAGCCATCAGTCAATTTTAAGAGTCTAGAGACAGAAGCAGCTCCCCCAACACACACAGCTGGACAAGGCTGCCATTGAGCTCCACAGTAGTAACCTCTTACAGACCTTTTTTATAGCTTCTGCAGTGAGGAATCAGCCTGGAACAGCTTCTTACACTGGCTCAGACATTTGAATTTTTCTAGACACTGAAAACAAACTGGGTTTAGTTAAACTGTATTGAATTATAGTTTGTGCTCCGGGTCCATGAATTCAGGGCCCTGTGAAAAGACACCATAAAAGCACTCTGTATCTGTCACATTAGTGTAAACAGACTGCTTTACAGTCTATGTTGAACTTGTTTGAATCTCTGTCAAGATAGGTTAAAATAAAATCAGTACACGTGTACTCACTCCTTCCACTCCAACCTCTGTCTATCCTCCCTCCACTCTTTCAAACCACTCTCATCCGTCTCTTTACTCACTCTGTAACCTCTATGTATCCTCCTTGAACCCTCTTCTTACCCTCAATAAACTGTCTCTGAACCTTCTTTTTACCCCTTTTGTACACTCTCTGAACCCTCTTGGTATCCTTTCTTAACTATTCCTCTTTGTAACCCCTTGTTACCTCTTTGTATCCTCTCTGTAACCCCTCGTTACCTCTTTGTATCCTCTCTGTAACCCCTTGTTCCCTATTTGTATCCTCTCTGTAACCCCTTGTTACCTCTTTGTATCCTCTCTGTAACCCCTTGTTACTTCTTTGTATCCTCTCTGGAACCCCTTGTTCCCTATTTGTACCCTTTTTGTAACCCCTTGTTACCTCTTTTATCCTCTTTGTAACCCCTTGTTCCCTATTTGTAACCTCTTTACAACCTCACTGTACCATCACTGTAACCTCCATCTTCTCTTGACCTTCAAAGGCTCTCTGGCTCTGTTATAGGATAAATCTGTTAGTGAGGTGAGATTGAACGTTTTGTTCATTTGGTAGTGATAAGAGGAACCTTTCAAATTTTCAAATTGAAGATTAAAGGCTGTGTTCAATTTTAGGCAACTTACCTATTACCACTTTTACCAGAGTGTAGCTTCTAACTTTCAAGTTAAATGTCTTGCCCAGAATATAACCATATTCATTCTACGTCCAAGAACAGCACAATCAGCCTCACACTGACACAGACCAGAGTGGTTTTTTTCCCTTATTTTGATCCCTTTTTAGCACTAGAACAAACATCTATACCAACAGACTTTGCACGCACTCTATGATCCACAAACACACACAGACATATAAACACGCCACTGAGACTGTTAATCTGCAGACAAGAAAGGAAGAAAACATCCTTCCTGCTGCAGACGGGGACATAATGTGTGTCTTCTGGCGTGCATGTGTGTGTGAGATGACATTTTTAGATTCCAAGGACAGGGTGTGTTTCCTCTCTTGCTTTCTATTGTTTCTGCAGTAACAGTGATCCTTGGGGAGCAGAGCAACCACCAGGACTGTGGTGCAGCAGCAGCCAATGACAGGCTAGGACAGAGAGGCCCTGAGGCTGATGGGAACTCAAGTCTGTTCTCTGTTGCTTCAGTGGAGGTCCAAACTGTAACATTAACCCACTGTGTCTTCATGGAGTGGACTTGGGTTTCATAATTTTCTGTTTTTAAATGAGGGCTCAAACATTTGGGTTACTCTGTGTATTGCGTCATGTGGGAAAATAAGATTAGTTCAAAATTAATAAATGCATGGGTCAGTAAATTCAGCTGGCCTACTCTATGAAGTGAACACTTGAGTCTTGTCTTTCTCAATGGCACATGCTTACTCCTTTGTACATCTGTGGATTGTGAACTATCCATCAGTAGAGCCAAGCTCAATGTCTTTGCTGCCATCTGCTGAAAGACTTCAGTTAAATCTATGGACAAGTTTAAACTCTTCCCAGAACTGTTCAGAGTATATGCTGGTCTCTACGTGCAGTATCAGAAAACAGTGCTCAAATATTCTCTATATCAGGCCTTTTCACCTCTTATAAACATTGAAAATATTTTGCTAAGTAAACCAAAAATTTTGATGTGATATGATTTGAAATGTTATTTGTCTTCATTTCTGTTAACACAGAATTCTGGTTAAGTTTGTCTCCGTCCATTCTTCACAAATGACTTCATAATTGTAAAAACAAGACGAAGAATCTATGCGAACCCCTCTTTGTCTGACAGAAAAGAAACACAGAAATCCACAGGAGTCCCATTATTTAAAAAAATGTATTTGTATGTACTTACATACTGGTGTCAAAAGAGTATGCACCAAAAATGTCACGTTGACTCACAATTACAAAGAAAAAGCATTTTCTTTTTCTTCAAATTACAAGTATTGAAAAAACTATGTACAGAAAAAGGGCATGGTGACAAAATAGTACACTAGAAACAAACTTACAGTCACACGTGGTTTAAATGAAGCTTCTGTAAATAGAGAAAACATATCGTCTACACAGTTACACTGTCTCGGTGCTCTGAGAGTCAAATCGTATTTCCACTCAAAAAAATAAAAACCTTGTGCATCCTCCGCAGTCCAACCTCAGGGCGATTTTATAGTGTGCTCACATAGATTTTTATAAAAACTGCAAGAAAATGTATTCAAAATAAACTTTTGAGTGGAAATACTTTTTTGTTTTAACTTTAAACATGTCCTATAGGTGATCTTAAAAAGGTGTTACAATGAAAAAAGGGGTCAGACAGGGGGAGTAAATTAGCTGGAGTAAGGGTCAAAGTCCTGAACATGAGCTTTAAGGTCAGTCCAGGTCTTTAACACTACTTCTCTCTCTCCTGATCCCTGCTGTCACATTTTTACAGCTGAAAAATATGCTCCAAAACCAGGCATCTTTTCTCTGGAAATTTACCGTTTTTGATCAAGACGAGACACATAGCAGGAATGAAAAAACAAAAGGCAGGATGATGGTGACAAGAAAGACTGAAAAAATAGAATATCCTCACTTGTTGATAGGGAAACATAAAATGTGGAAAACAAGAACAGCTAGACAACTCACTCAACTGCTTAAGTTCCCCTCGCTGGAGTCTCAACTGTGACTCACGCGTACACTGACCCAAACAGAGACAAACTGGTGGTGTGGTGTCAAAATCTGAGAGGAACGTGAAACAGGGAACCAAAACATTCAACTCAACACTGGATTAGTGCTCACATTCTAGCTGCATCTTCAATTTTTTAGATTTGGGCTATAGGGGACACCAATATCCTCTCCATACATCACTTTAAGCAGCTTTATGCAATATTTACTTCTCTGCTGACATCTCAGGTCCCTCCTCTGGGCTCAGCTAATTGGGAGGACATTAAATGTGCCCAGAAGAGGAATTTATGGTCTTCATGGCACTTTGAGGGGACGCAATGACAGCTCTGTAATTTGGGGTCGACACACAATAGTTTTGCAAAACTCATAAAGGGACAAGAGACGTGCACATTTCATAATGCAATTTTGCTGTAATGCAAGTCACACTGTTAAATGTGAACAGCAAATCAGATGCAGGTCGAGACCAGAGCTGTCCATAGTCCCTGTTGGAAAATTTCAAAAAATCCAAACCAGCAACAATGATTTTAACTTTAGCAGATTGCAACGCACATCTGAAGGAAACGTCTCTGAAAATGTTTAGAAATATACACTAATCTCTGCAGACAGCTTTGTCCCACATCTTCTTTTGTATACTTTCAATATGAGGAATATGCCAAGTCTGCCTCCTCTGAAGAAGTACAGCACATCCAGCTTCTTTCCAACACCAGCAAACAGACAAAAAAAAACTACTGAAGGGGATTTAAGTAAGAGCCCGCCAAGAGCAGAGGGCACGAACTACACTGATGATCTTTAGAGCTATATCTTATAGCGTTTGTCAATTCTGTTTCAGGGGAGATGACGTTTTGTGAGGTCAGGAATATATTGAGGAGAATGTGTCTCTGGTGTATCATGAGTGGCTGGAGACCAGCTGCTCTCTCAGTTACAGTTTCTCTTTGCATTTAGTCACTTTTAGCCTTTTTGCTGTCGTTCCCGTTCTCCTCTGGCTCAGTCCCTTCTGTCTCTTCGGGCTGCTTCCTCTTCTTTGTGTCGTCGGACTGCGCAGGTGAGGGGTGTGGCCGGAGGGTGATGATGATGCAGGTCATGTTGTCACATCCTGTCCCATCTCCAGATGTGTCGGGTGCCAAACAGTGGTCAAGAAGCTGCAGGAGAACACATGAGGTTTAAGAAGAGCAAAAATATAAAACATTTAGATTTTCCCTCCGAAGGTCTCGGACCCAAACCTACTTCATACCACAAGTTAGTGATGATTTATTTCAGAACCAGAATGCAGAGATGAGGTTTACAGTTAGATACACTTACTGCATATCTCTCTTTTCCAAACTAATTATATTTGTCTGTACGTTTACTTGTTAAAAATCCATGTATGACGTTAGTCTGGCTGAAAATGAATGTATAGAGAGGATGTATACACCTCAGCCAGACTCTCACTTGCCAAAGCACTATGCACATATTTCTTTTATTGCTGTAGGCTTTTAACCTGAAGTTCGATGGTTGGTCGGTGCTTGTAGGCTTGGAAAATGATAGCAGACCACTTAACTTGCCTAATCGAGGTGTAACTGCTCAGCTAAACTGTACATGTAAACATGGTGAATGTGGATGGGTTTCAAAACTCCCATTCTCGTCAAAACCCCTGAACCATCCAGCCCTTCACTAGTTTTCTTTTTGGTGCTTTTCATGCAAGTGCAAGAACAATAAATTCAGAAAAGCACAAGAAATGTTTACAGAGAATGTTCACTACTTTATGTTTCAGACTGTACCAAGTTTGAGCAAAGTGCTACAGAACACTGTACAATGTTGTTAACATGCTTGCAGGAATAGAGTCAAGTGATTATTGTCCTGATATCAGCATAAACCTTTAAATGGTTTGAGCTAATTTTTTTCCCCAACAGCCTGACGTCTTCAGAAGCTTAAATACAAAAGGGAAATGTCAGGACTTCAGACAAAAAGAATCTGTTTGGATTGTCAATGTTCTTACAAAACCACTGGCTGACGAGTTTTCTTCCACATGGAAGTTTTGTGCATGTATGAAGGACTTTCTCTCTCACTCACTCACCTCTTCCACTATGGATGACAGGGCTTTGACTTTGCCACTCTGGTCTGGTTTGATCCTCTCGCTGATAAAGTCCACCACTTCCTGACTGCTCAGCACGTTCCTGCAATCAAATGTGAACATGAAAACAGACCGCAAAAAGAAAAACCCTGACCGCATGTGCACTAACAAGGAAAATGCCCATATTTCAGATTTCTCTGTACAGTTTTATGCTCATCCTGCATGTGGATTCAACCACTAACTGGTATATTATTAGTTCCACCACAGGTAGTCAGTCAAACTCACCAGATGCCGTCACAGGCGATGACCATGAAGTCGTGGTCCTCGTTCAGTGTTAAAACTTTGACATCTGGCATTGCAGAGATCATCTGCTCCTCTGGAGGCAGAGCTTTGTTCCTCTTGTAGAAGTGGTCGCCTAGGAGACACAGTCATGGTTTAAAGAAAATGAACTTTAGTTTGAAACTTACTGGATGTGATTTTTCATGCAGACTCAGCTGATATTGAGCTTTATTTCTGGTTTTCAAACAGCCTTAGTCATCCGAGAGTCACAGACAAAGCAGCTCATACCAATAGCTCTGGAGAGGTTCAGACCACCGTTGACCCGTCCATCCATGGTCACCTTTCCTCCAGCATTCTTGATGCGAGCCAGTTCCACCTCATCCTCTGGTTTGTGGTCGTATGACATGTCCACAGCTTTACCTGTGGCAGCACAGGGAGACAACTCTTCCAATACAAGTCGGTCTTTTCTTTTTCTTATTTAATATAAGAACAGCTTCAAGCATTTCAGTGGCACCATGCGAGGGCTGAGCCCTCAAACTAGTCGCTCCTTCTTGATGTGACTACAACAAGAGTTTCTGCATTTAAGAACTTCAAGACAGAACCCTTAAGGTGAGCCGAGTCACAATGTCATTACCGTATTTTTTGCACTATAAGGCGCACTTAAATCCTTTTGGCTTGTCGGAGCACTGCAGCTACCATAGCCTCGCGGAGTTATTGAACGAGTTAAATAAAGTTTGACTTATCTGACTGTTTTGTTTGGCTTAATGCGCTTTATAATCCATCGCGCCTCATAATCAGGTGTGCCTTATAGTGTGAAAAATACGGTACTTAAATGGTTATCACTTCAAATAAAATTAAACATAGAATAATTCTGTTATCATTTGCTTCTTAACAGAAGTCAAATGGCTAACAAAATGGTATCCTCTGGTTGTGAATAAAAGAGCAGCCTTCCTCCCCTAAAAATATTTCATTTTATTCACAGACTAAAAGTAGTCTGTTAAGCAGCATATCAACAGAAACTGGAGAATGAAGGGATGGGACAAAAAAAGCAGGAAAATGAGACATTTGTTGGACATTTTGATTTCACACAATTACCACAGATCAGCAACCCCATCAAGGTACCCCATGACCTACCGCGCTCAGATACCACACAGCGGGAGTCTCCAGCGTTGGCCACAATCAGCTGTTTTCCTCTGATGAGAGCCACGACAGCTGTGGTGCCGCTGTCTGAACCAGGCTGCAGACAGAAGAGACGACAGTGTTTACACCGCTGCATCGCTCAGAATGACAAACAAACCAAAGTATAAAAAAAATCTGAATAATCCCCCCAAACCTAACCAACCCCAGGAATGAAATGAACAAATGACTAAGCGATATCAGAGTCCTCTGTAAAATCAGGCTATGGTACAATAGTTTAAGTAAAGAAACACTTATTATTCTGAGTTACATGATTCTTCAGGTTAGATTGGCACAGGAAGCAAACTAGTTGAAACTGTCCTCTCTAAATGCTGATCCGGCTCCATCCTCGGGACATCTGCACCAGAATGATGCTTCCCACACAAAATCCTAAAAGCTTTTTAATGAGCCATAGATGCCTATAGCCACAGAGTTAATGTTGTGTGCACCACAGCATCAGTTACAGTCAATAAACTTCACCCAGTCGCATTTTTGCACTCACCTCCTCCTTGCCGTCCATCCCAGGTAGACACATTTCCTCCTCCTCTTCTTCATCCTCGGAGTCTTCCTCTCCTTCCTCTGTATCCTCTTCCTCCTCCAGCTCGCTGCTGTCACCTTCCTCCTCTTCACTGCCGTCTTCTTCTTCACTGCCCTCCTCCTCTTCTCCCTCCTCAGACTCCTCACTGTCATCAAAGAACTTGGACTTTGAGTCTCCTGTGGCCTTTGAGGACAGAGAGGAGCAGGAGGGACCAGCGTCTCCCTCTGCCTTACCAGCCTTCTCTTCTCCATTTGAACTCCCGGAGCCTCCACAGGCGGACGCTGTAGAGGAGAGAAAAAGGGTCAACATGCTGTAGTTGAAGGGACCGAGGAGCAATAGGTTACATTTCAATATCTAAGTTGGCTTTTAAGTGAAGCATGAACACGCAAAGTTTTCATACCTGAGGCGCTACCTTCACCTCCTCCTGCTCTTCGACAGGCTCTCAGCTTGGACCCGCATGCTGCTCCTTCCTCTTCCTTCCCCTTCCCGTTACTCTCCTCCTCCACCTCTCCATTCAATCCCTCTTTCTTCTGAGCTTTGCCACTTTCTTCTTTGCTTCCAGAGCCCTCCGCTGATGCTTTCTTAGCAGCCGCACTAGGAAGAAAAAACACAAGGAGAAAAATTTGAGAAATTCTTTCACACACACAAAAAAGGACTCAAGATGATCTCTCAAGGTCTACACATCATACTCCAATTAATTCATCAAATGAAGTTCATACAAACTTTCAATAGTAACTTTGTCCTTTTTTTCAGGTGCTAAGCAACCGATTTCACGGGGAGAACAATGTGCAATTGATTCTGGAGAGATGCTGACTGAAAAAACTTCTGAGTACAGAGTTTCTACTGAGAGCCATTACTTTTTAAAAGGAAAAGTCCCTGAACTTCATTCATACTTCAGGCTCCAAATACATTTTCAAAGAAACACTTACGTTTGAGTCAGGGTAAAAAATGTTCAAGTAAAAAGACATTCTCTGTTACCTGATGGCACTTGCGTGCTTGACAGCATTGAGGTTCTGGCCGTAGCGGACCAGCAGCTCCTCTATGGTCATGGTGGCCTCCTCATGGAGCAGAGCGGCTTCTTCATTTTCCACTAACAAACAGCACAGAAGTCGTCATTACCACCATCTCAAATGTTTGTAACCGACCAGCAGAGGACACATATGCACTTAAGGAGACACTGTATCAGTTGTACTACATAGTTTTTAATTTAATGTTTAACCCTGGACATTTCTTTTAGTGTTTGCCATAGTTGTACAAACTTCCACCTGATTTAAAGCTTTATGCTAAATATCAACACTCTGTTACCTTTCAGCATGAACTAATTTCGCTCTACGCTTAAAAATGTCTCACAGAAGCACCACACGTTACAATGTAAGAATTGTTGTAACTTTGTGTGTACTCACAGTCATCCTCCTCCGCCACCTTTTCAACAGGAGGCTCCTCTGTTGGCCGTCCAGCGATCTGGACCAGCTCTTTGATAACGTCCTCTGTGGTTATTCTTTTGTCGATGGCCAAGAAGGCATCCTCCAGAGCCTGGAAATAATGTGTGAAAAGATCAGTTAGGAGGTGTTCGATGACTAGGGCAGGCTCCGTATTGATTCTGATTCCATTATTTTGGAGAGCCAAAAAATGATGACAACACTAAGAAGTAAATATCAGCCCACTTTCAATGTTGGAACAATTGGACTCTTAAAAGTGAACCGTTAACTGACTTGACTTTTTTTTTTCCATTTGCAAATGACTCTCTCATAAAGATAGTTTAACTAGAACTACAAGCAAAAACTACACAAACAAACCATACCTATACATGGCTTGCCAAACCCAATATAAATCAAGCGCAATTGTGTTTTGTACCAGATTGTGCTGAGCCATTATTACAGCTGCTACTGCTAGCTGTATCTGGGGTGTTTTTGTGAACAGGAGACTGCAGCCCATTGAATACAGCTCATTCACTTTTAATTGATACTGTGCTGAAGTAAATGCTTCATCATATTGGCGTGCTTCCTCTCTTGAATGAAATGTCTTAGCAGCATGTTATGCGTTGCTGTGTCCTTCTCTTTATGAAGTCAGTGTAACTTTTGAACATTGGCTGCTGTCCTCAATCATCCTCTTCTCACAACTTTTCTGACAAACTGTGTTACAAGTAACATCATGCTGTGTTAGCAATAGAGGGTCCTGCAAAATTTTCACCTGATGACTAGGAATTCAGGACCAAAATCTATACGTCTCAATGAATCTATGAATCATTTTTTCCAAACCTCAGCTCAGCAACACAGTTTTGGATCATGAAAGTTTCTGCTTTGAAAACAACAATTTAATGTTCTGGTTTCTATGGCTTCTCACCTTCTGCAGTTTTCCATCTTTGTAGGTCTTTTGCTCCTTGATGATGTCAGGAAGGTACTTTGAACAGTACAGAGCCACCTCTTCGCCTACATGGGATCAACAGGTAATATAAAGGGCCAGGTGGGGTGTGTGCAAACATAGTTCTCAACAAGGTGTGTAAAACAATAAAAGAGAAAAAACTATCGACACTAAACAAACAAAGGTGGGGAGTTATCCAAAAATTAAAAAGAAGGGAACATATCTCTCATATGTATCTCCGCTGGCTCATAGTGGCTTACTACAGTGAATTTTGAGTAAGAGTTTAAGTTTTGAAAAAGGAATCATTGGTAGTGTGTTGTAAAATGACAATATCACACTGAAAAGTCAATGTGATTTTATAGTTTTGTTGTAAAATGACAGTATCACATTGAGTGATTTTCCAAGTTTGTGTTCAAGGCTGAAAAATGCCTCTTTATATACCACATATAAAAGACTGTGCATGGATAAAATGTGTTACCTCCATGTCCATCGTATACAGAGAACATAGCGGTCTCCTCGTCAAACTCTGGGATACAGTTGTGAGCATCCTGTAACAGGACAAACAGATATGTACACCACTTTGCAGACAGTTTAAAACCAGATAAATTGGTTCAATTCATGGTCATTCATATTCTTCAGGTAAAAACTTTTCACCACCAGTTTCCAGTGTTTACTACCTGAATACTAGTGTATTACTGCTAGGATGTAACATATGCCTTGACACAGTCTTTGATCATCTCTCCATATGACTTATCTGATAAGACATTGGCTGTGTCCGAAATGGATCCAACCCCTATATAGGCGACTATATGGGGGTTAGTGCCATTTTGAGGGGTGTCCGAAACCTGATTGATCAATTCCAGTGCCCTATATGGGCGACTCAAAATTTCCCATGAAGTATTGCAAAATGTAGTGACCATCCGATGGTCACTCTCCGGTGGTGGGCATCCCGTCATGCACTGCGTCTTGCCATTTAGTGTCCGAAACCCCCGGTGACTGAGTTCACTAGATAGTCAACTACATAGTAAAACCCCATATGGGGTTTGGGATTGAGTGATTCATTTCAAACACAGCCAAAGCTGCTAAGTTCAGCCCACAACAGAAAAAAAGTCACTCCTCATTTAGGGTTGTTTCACTACGAAGTACTGGAGAGTCTTCATGGATAACTTTCATCTATGCACATTATACTCTGAGAAATAGGCATTATGAACATTCAGGCAAATGCATACAACTTAACTCCACAGCGCTGCAAAAAGTTCTACCTTAAGGAAGCTTTTATATTTCCAATTTTGATAACATAATTAGACAGGTGATAATTATTGTTTCAAATAATTGTTCAAGTTACACTGGGTGTCGGTGGTGTGCTGGAGTTCATCATGCTGAAAGACGTCCCCAAATATTTTGCTCCTTTCATGTTAAAGAAATAAAGAAAACATGCAGAACACAGTATAACAATCCTGGACACCCCACCTACCAAATCCTAATTTTTACAGTACAATACTCACCTTTCTAAATATGTTAATGAAACTGAAAACGTATAAATCTCCTGAAAGAAGAATTTGTAGTAGAGCAGTCTTATAGTAATGCACTTTTTTTGCCCGTGTGACAAACTTGAGTGAACTCTGCACAGACATGATTCAGCCTCCTACAGACAGACAGACAGACCGACAGCAGTGCTCAGAGGGAGGTAACACACACACACACACGTACACACTCTCTACATCCCGCCATTTAAACCATAGGGTACATTTTGTCTTAGAGGTTTTCCAGGGAAAGAGTTGCATCTGGTCTCTGTTCCCGGCCCTCCTTTTCTGCCTCACCTCCATGGAGACCCGCCAGCCCTGCATGGCAGAGAAGCCGAAGCTCATTTTGCTGTTGCCGCCATCGGACGAGCTCTTGGTCGTGTTAGGTTGCGACAGATAAGCCCCCATGGTTGTCGGTTTCTATGGCTTAACACCTGGGAAGAAGAAGGAGACACAAATTGAGCGGCTCATCCTCACTGTACGCAGAGAAACACATGTATGGTCAAGTGCGTTTGTCACTCTTGAAGCCCCGTCTTGTTATAGTTGCTAGCTAGCCAACATTAGCGGCAACACAACAAAAAGTAGACGCATCAGCTAGCTAACAGCAGCAGCAGCATGCTAACAGCCGGCTAAACTTCCAGCCGTAACCTCTGCCCCCGCTATGCGAGCGGCTGCGCACTTTTGTTAAAAAAGATCAAACAGTCAACACCGAAATTAATTAACCTTTTAGACAGAGCAGGATGAGCGTGTAAACGAACCCCAGAGAGAGAGATTCGCATAGGAAAGATTGCACGTGTGGAAGCAAAAGCCGCTATCAACACACAGACCAAAAAGAAGCTGTGGAGGAAGTGAAGGCGCGCGCATGTCCCTTTCGCTCCAATAAGGGGGCGTGGTCACTACGTACGTCACGAGGTAACTTTGGATTGTTCTCTTTATGTTATCGACTCAGTGCAAACAAAAAAAACTTATCTAGTTTTTATGACATAATTAAAAAAATACTACATATAACAAGAACAAAAATATACAGTGACTTCTAAAAGTAAGTTTATTAGAATTGTGTTCATACCAAAAAAGATCATTTTAAATTTGTTTTATACATCAATTGTGGTATCTATGAGCTACAACATGAGGTCAAAAACCTAGTATTAAAGTCCACCATTTTAGCTTAGAGGACTAATAAAGTCATCATAGTAGTTCTGGGGTAAGATGAGTCAGTGGATCAACTGAGAAAGTAAAGAAGTCTGACGAGAGGATCAGAGTTTCAGTTCAGATTGTTGAATTGTGTTAATTTTTCTTTTCATAAATACAGCTGTGAATGTTCTGAATCACTTAAAGACATTATCATGATAAAATGGCTTTTTACAAAACAGCTTTTTTGCAGTTATATGCAATAATAGTAAAAAGAATTATTGTACCAGTTGAATAGTGTATGATAGATAAAAATACACATAAATGTGAAGAAGTGACTATTATTTCTGGAGAGAGAAGGTGAGGGAGGGCTGGGGTCAACTTACCCCATACACGGGGTAAGTTGACCATAGGAGACCACTTTTTTTCTGGCATGCTATATTATCAAGACAGTTATGTTTACACTTATTCTGTTGGTTTGCAGGGATGAACAATATCTTGAAATATATGCAGATACACTAGTTAGAGACAAAACTCTGATTGCCTTGATGTAGTGATCCGAAATATGAAAAATGGCTTATCTTACCCCACTCTCCCCTACTTACCTTAAAGGGAGAAATGGTTGCTGAATCAAAGCTTATGTGTGACGCTTTTTTACGAGAAAGAACAAACCTTATAGTTAATTAGTATCACAAAAAGATAACACATTGATAAGGAGAACAATATTTTAAGGCCAACACAAACCTTTTTTTCCCCCTACCTCTGCAAATCAGGCGTACATACATCTCCAAATTAATTTAGTGTAAAAGACTGAAGTCTTGTAGATGACTTCAGATTGACTCTCAAATTTAGCAGTTAGGGCCCAACATTGTTTGTTGAAAAAGCAAGTTGTCTGCATATCTCTAAAAAAGACAAAAGGTTACAAAAAATTACATAATTGATTGTTGAGCCGGGGTGACCTGTGTCTGGGGAAAGGGTTTTCTTAAAAGAAGGTGACACTTTAATGTTGATTTGTTGAAATTTGTGCAGCTTTGAAAAGAATTTTGCCATTGTTGTCGCATTGTGAGTCGCCCTCCATACCACCAGGTGGCGATGAAGCGAGACGTCGTTATTTGACACGCTTACAAACACAACAAGAACTACGGTTATGTGACGTAGACGATTCAACATGGCGCGGGAAACCGGGGAAGAAATGGCGATGGAAACACAGGATGGAGTTCAAACTGACCCTGAAAACCAGGACCTGGCGCGTTTAAAACTGTACGAAACACAGTTTTTTGGCTTCACTCCACAGACTTGTATGTTGCGGGTCTATAGCGCCTTTCAGGACTGCCTGTACGACATTTTACCCGTTGTAGAGAAGGTGTGTGTCAGACAGCTGAGTAAAGGCGGGTCCGAGGGATCCGAGGAGCAGCTTCGGTCCCGGGCCAGGGAGTGCAGCCGAAAACTGCAGCAGTTCCTCGATGAGAGGTTCAAGCAGCTCTCGGTGCGGATAGAGGCTCTGCTGCTGGACCGCTGCTTCTCCGTGCCGCCAAACGTCCTCCTGCCAGAGGACCAGTCCCACAAGAACTACCCCCAACACCTCCAGGTGGGTACAAAGCCGGAGCTTTCACATGCCTGGTTTGTGCTGTCCGTAAAGTTAGACAGAGTCGACAATTATTCTATTTTAACCTTTTTTTCTAACTCAGTTGAAGATTTCTTTAAAACCATGTATTTGGGTCAAAACTGTAATTGATTTGGACTCTGAATACCGATTCAGTACCAGCAAGATACCTACAAATAAAAACCGTTTACTACTAATCCCGGTAACTAGGGCTGGGCGATTTGGGAAAAGTTTATCACGGTATATTTTTTTCACCTCAGTTGATATCAATATATATCACAATATAAAAAAAAATTCTGTTAAGGTCCTAAGACTCTGGGAGTGTTTTTATCGTGCAATTATTTCAGACGTCAATATTTTTTTGAACCCGTATTCTGTCGATACAACCATTAACATCAGCTGTGTTTTCCCGTTCTGCAATATTGCGGCATTTATTTTCAGATTGCGTGTTGTTGCGACGTCTGATTCACTGGTATATCCAAAATATCCAGCATATCCGACCGGCTGATTGTTTACGTGTCGGAAACAGAGTGCTACCAATAGATACAAACATTACAAAGATAACGACCTGAAGAACAACTTGTGGAGAGTCGTTGCGTTGTATCTCTCATATGATGATGATTTATCAAAAAGCACTCTGTTGTCTGACACTTAAACAATCAGTCAGTCGGCCATGTTGAATATACCGGTGAATCAGACGTCTCAACAACAAGCAATCTGATTGGTCAGAAGTGGACACACAGTCTGCAAAACTTTAGAAAAATCGACCATGATCCAAAAAAATAAATGCCGCAATATCGCAAGATGGCAAAACGTCGCTGATGTGAACGCTTGTATTGACAGGATACGGGTTTGAAAAAAAATATTGATTTCAGAAATAATTGCATGATAAAAACAGTCCCGGGGTGAAAGGACCTTTACTCTTAAATGAAATTTAAATGTATGTTTTGTTTAACCCCTGGTGTAAATTTTAATTGGGTAAATACTAAGCAAAGGCAGTGAAACTGTCATACTTAACATATTACACCTTGAATGAAATGAAATTTAAGAGTGCTTATGGTAGCATGTCTTTACGATACAATACGTTACTACATCTCTGAGGTCTTTGTGTCTCTTCGACGTTGTGCTAGAGACAATGGACTGAATAGACGGCTGTTTCGACCACACAGGCGCAACGGGCTCCTTGCGCTGCTCAAGATTTGTAAGCTTTTGCATTGCGCATGCTCTGGCGCATGGCAGTGCTTCAGGTGGTGAGAAAATTTGAGGTATTCCCTGACCTGTACTCAAACATGTACTCAACATAATTTGCAGTGCGCATTACTCTGCTTCATTCGTATAGTCTACCAAAACATGGCAGAATGCCGACCATCAAAAGCATATTAACCAAGTTTTATATCGATATCGAGGGAAATTAATTTTGATATATATCGTTATCTTTTTATCGCCCAGCCCTACCTGTAATGTATGGATGTAATGTTATTGTTGTTATTCTTGTGTCCCATGGCCCAGAAAATGTTTTACATCAGAAAACTGTAATTTATAGGGTAGTTCAACATCACGACTGAGAAGAAACATTTTGTGAACTCCTCATTTTAGATTACTTCAGCACAAGTCACTGATGTAGACTCCTGAGATGAGAAACACAGGAGTCTAAACTTTAATGTTTCATTTCTGCTTCTTTGAGTTTCATTATTTTGTTGAGTTGAACATGATGGGATTTTTTTTTTTTATCTGTCTGCAATCTGACTGTGGTTCTGCTGCATCCAGGAGGTGCTGAGGCTGGAGTCATCCCTCGTGGATCTCCAGGGTGCTTATGAAGCAGAGGTCTGTGCCAGACAGGCCCTGCTGGCTGAGTTGGAGGAGCAGAAAAAGGTGCAGAAGCAGCTGGATGGAGTCCTGATGTGGGTCAGAGAGCTCCAGGAAGCCTGGGTGAAGGAAGGTAACGGCAGCTTCCAGGAAAGTTTCCGGCTGGTGATGGATTCTGTAAAGAGACTGCAGGAGGCTGTCAGGGAGGTCTGTCATAAGGCACCTCACTGAATTGAGCTATTTGTAAACAAACAGAACAACATTACTACACGCGTATCCTGTTTTTATTCTCTCTAAAGGACTGAAGAATTCAGATGACATTGGTTTCCATAAGGAGACAAAAAGTTATTCTATCCACTGAATATTTGACCCCCTTTTTGCCTGTTTTAAAAATAAATTTTGTAGATAATAAATCACCAATGAATTTGCGCTTTAAACAACTGATGAAACAAGACCTTCATAACTTCGGCTAAATTGAAGTTTCTAGTTAAAACTTAACGCTGGTTTTGTTGAACTGGACAGTAACTTCTGGCTGCTGTTAGTCATCAAAACACCTGTGAAAAGATCACCCTAAATAACCTCAAAGCTGTCACAATTTAACCAAAACAACTCATCATATGACTCAGCTACTACTAACCTACCTTTCACAGTGAAATGTAAATATTAAAGCAGATGGATGAGTTTATGTGTCTGTCTCTGTCATCTTTCTACTCTTACTTTCTGCTCCAAAAATTACCCTCCAAAAAAGGGAAAAATCCTCTGACTTTTAGTGTTATCATGCTGGTAAGTGTTTCATTTTCTTTTCACTAGTTTTTACTAGATTGTTGACATGTTCATCATATTTTATCCCCTCTCCACCAAGAACGGTGTTTTTAAGAGTCTCTTGTCTACCAGCAGAGGGTGCTCTCTGCTCGATAACGGCAACCACCCCTTTAAAACAATTCACTGTGTATGTCCAAATATTAACACATCAATAAGCTAAAACATTCTCTTAGTTTCTTTCTCAAAGGGTTTATCAAATTCATATTAAGGCTACCTTTCTGCATCAAAGCCTTTCTTTTATGATAGTTGTTATTATATTCACAGTCATTGAACTCTTGCATTTTGCAGAGTTCACACATTATTTCCTCTGTCTTCACAGACATAGAGGTAGATAGTGTGTTTAAATCAACTGAGGATCCAAACAAAATATCTTTAGACCTCTAATATATGTTTAGTACTCTGCTAAATGATAAATCACAACCATGAATAAAATATGTTTATTGCAAGCATGAGCATTGCTGTGCAAAATCAATGTGATGTTTTATATGACATTAGAATATACACTGTAGTATTAAATAGTAGAATTTGATTATAAAAAAAGACAGGCCCTTAAACATTTTTAGTTCTCTGTGTATGCAACACGACAGCATGTGACAAAGATCAATATTATCAACAGTTTTTTTTTTTCATACCACTTTTAAATACAAATCTTTAAACATACAGACTGGGTCGACTTCCTTTTTCTTCTCTAAAGTAACAGTGTGAAATACTTCCTTCTACTACTGTCCTTTTTTACTTCAAAACAAAAGAAACCATCTGAGTAAGAACATCAGAAACTTCATCACAAAGGGCCAAAAGATAGTTAGAATATCATACAGTGTCTTGTGTAAACATGATTATGGTTTCATTCCATGTAGCCGGTTTCGTTTCAGGGTTGTGAAATGTATAAGCTCCCTCTCTTTCAAGATTTTGTTGGACACTGTCTGATCAGAGTGACACTTGAGGTTTTCCTGTCATAACAAAACAAAATGATTACAGCCGGTAAATTGACTGTGAGCAGTTAATTAGTTAATTAATGAAGACGTTGGCAATAGTACATTGCTTTCACCTGTGAAGCTTTGTGAGTTAATTTTGAATAGAGTGTAAAATGTAGGAATGGACAGTTTGACTGTGTCCTGTTTTTAAACTCTGAAGGGTATAATCTGCATGCCATTAACTTTTAGTGCAACATAGTGTATGATTACAAGCCCTGCTATCATTGGCATGTTTCCTTCAACTTGCTTCAATTAGTGGACCATAGGGGGCGCTAGTGCTTTTAAAAACACAAAACTTAATCATGTGCTCAATGATCAACGACTGTCACAGCCCCTGTTATAATGAGGGTATAATCAGGTGAGTGAAGGTGATCCATAACTTGAAGCTGTCATATGTTATTTTTATTCTAGGACCATTCAGACAGAAGCTGACAGATTTAAAGCCCCCAAAACAACAATTACAACGGAAAGTACATGAACAACAACAAAAGGTCCAATGTAAACAGTCAACATTTGTTTTGGCATTCCTTGACTGCGTGTTTGTGTGTGGGTTTGTGTTTGTCTCCTACCTGCCTGTTGTGACTTGAGAAAGTTTCAGTCCAGATGGGGTGGTGTGAGTACTAGGTGGCATTTCTGCTGCCGTGTCGTCTCAGCAGAAAAGATGAGCATCATTCAGGCTGTTACCATGTTAAACTAAGTACTGTATGTAGCGAGTGTAGCTGAGCAGACTATGTTTCTCCCTGTCATTTTTATTTTATTTTATTCAAACGATAAACAATCTGTAATGAAGTTCATAAAACAGCTTGGGAACATTAGGTCAAAGGTGTAAAACTGGGGCACAGTGCACATTTAAAGCTCTTCCTTACTGGAAGTTGAAGAACTTTATTTGATACATTACCCTGCAGCAGTGATTAGAGGCGATAAACCTACAATAAATATACCAAATGATTGTACTGCTGTTGGTCTTGTATATTTTGGCAGGTCATCACATTATAAAATTCCTTATCATCCATGCTAACCCTAAGATATGATTTGATAACAAGTGGATAAGTGGATGTTTGTACACCATTAACAGTGGACAGTGTCCCTTCAAATCGAAACTCTCTTCTATCTTGTCACCACCTTCGAACCTCCTCTGTTTTCGTAACAAGGTGTGTGCGTGTGAACACAGCTGTTTTCTCTTTGACTCTGTGTGTGAAGGCACAGTAAATGTTCAACTCTGCCCTCCCTGCATGTGTGTGTATGTGCGTATAATACCTCTTAAGTTTTTAAAAGATGTTGTCAGACATTGGGGGCACAGCTGTCTGTTTGCAGCTGTCCACTGGTCATGCACCCTCGGTGTATGTTGGTTCCTGCAGTCAAAGAGGAAATCAAGCTAACCAAAGGAAATAAATTATCTTATCAGGCACAGAGAGAGCCAGACTTGGGTCAGTGAGTGTGTTTGAAGGGTGTTAGTGTTTGTGATTGAAGGGGAAATGGATGAACGAGAAACAGAAGGTGGGGAGAGAGTGTGCGTTTTTATTTCACAGCAGGGTTTCAAACTTTCACACTGCTGTCTCAAACAGATCTGCCAACGAGCCTCAGGGAGGATACACAAGGAAAGCGTGTACGCTCGGTATCATGATTTCACTGACACAAGCAGATGTTTTTTTTTTTTTTTCAATTATCAAGGTCCTAAAGTCACTTCTTATCAAAAGCAGCAAATGTTTTCCTTGACGTCATCCACCTGGGTGATACTCCACTTGAAAGTGATCTTGTGCATTTCAAACAGTAAATTTCACATCCAGTATTCTTAAAAAAAATCAACAAGGTATAAGAAATTATTTTCCTCTGCAATGCAAAGACATGTTTTGCTGTTATGAACCTATAAAAGTCCTCTTTTTATAACAGCATGTGATTAAATGCTAGCTTGTTTAAGTCAGTACTGCCATATGTGTCTGTTTCTGTAATCACAATAACATCTGGACCCACTGAAAACATCACTATAAAGCAATCCCTGTAATCAAGATTTCCTCAAAACACCTTTAAAGTTCAGTTTTCAGTTTGAAAAACACTTGCTGCCCAATCGAGATGGACCTGTTAGACCTGTGTTATCCCCCTCTTGTACTCATTGTATCCAGCTGACAGCTATATAAACTCTGTAGTGCTGAAATATTGCTAATATAAGTTATCTATTTGATAAATTTATGAAGATGATATGAACAGGTGTCATGTGCACAATTAAAGTGGTTTAAACAAGAGAATGGTGTTTCACAGTAAAATCAAGTACCTGAATTTCTTTAAATACTTTGGAAATTTTATGGAATTACAGAGAATAAAGATAGTGGGATAGAAAAGAGAGAGAAAAAAAACAATCATTAAAACAAACTAGGCAAAACAAACACAAAATTGAAAGCATAATTGCTTGTTTTATTTGTCTCACATCTTGCAGTATGTGAAGTATCTCACTGATTTTGAGTCCAGCACTGCCAGGTAGGACTGAATACTTCAAAGTTGGTGTATGAATGACAACAAATTACCCCAAACTCTTGTGGCTACATACAGCATCCAGCTGTGAGTAGATAGGTACAGTATTTAACTAATTCATGTACTTATATGTGTACACTACAGAAACAACAAACAAACAAAAAATGATTGTATTAGTTACCACTTCAAACTAGAGGACCATTAGAGGTGATACACATTGTGTTCCTCCTCAAGTTTTCCACCTTTCTCCAGAAATGTGTTTTTTATTCATATAATCATTTACAGTATCCTTCCATTTCAAATGTGTGAAGTTGTCATCTTTGAACCGATTCCTCTTAATGTGTTTAGTTCGATTTTCTGATTTTGATTTAATTGAAAAAGGATGATCTACAGTCTGTATTTGTGCGAGTGTGTTGATGAGTTGAATGGTGCATGTTTGTGCGTCAGTGTGTTGATTTGATTACCTGTGTTTGAATGAGTGTGTCTGACTGCGTGGATGTGATTTGTGGGAGTCTGTGTGCGTGCAGGTTGTGTGTATACCTGTTCAGATTTGCAGCGTTACTACAGTGTATGATGTGTGAGCGTGTGAATCTGTACGTGTGTGAGAGTGAAGACAGCATATGGACAGTGCCCTCCCTTCCTGTTGGGAGGGGAACAACGTGGGTCTCTGTGAACCACAGCCTGACCTCTGACCCCTTAGGATCACACACACACAAACCCCAGATACCTCCACATACACAGATATACATCCAGGCTCAGCCGGCCAGCTGTCCTCTGTGACTGTCCGTCCCACACAGAGACAGAGAGAAGGAGAGAGTGACGGTCCAGCAGCAGACAGGATTGTTTTCTCAGGCTGTGAGAGTGAGCCTGGAATTCACTCAGACCTTTTTAAACCCACGTGTCACCCAGCAGGGAAACAATCACAGTGCAGCAGCAGAGCCTGTCTTTACATTTCAAGCCTTTCTTCCCACTCTGGATCACTGTGACGCCATGAATTAGGGAGGAAAGAAAGTCTCCCACCTTGGAGCAGCTCTAATTGACTGACATGTTTGGGATGGCACTGAATGATTGAATATTTATACAATGATTGATTGAATATTTCTCCCCTTTAAATTACTCACTGAACAGGCTGAAGGTAATAAACACTTTGTGCCAAATGTAAAAATATCACCAACACACTCTGACTTTAAGCTACCTACGAACTAAGTGTACAGGACTGATGTCTCCGGGCAACCGCATCACAAAGCTAGCAGAGCATCATTTTAGAGGGGGACCTTTGCCACTAACCCTTGGATGGAAATAAATCGATACACTAAATACTAATACTAAATAACTGGCCACCGACTGCAGGCCAGTCAACATCGTGGATGACTATAGATCGAGGGACGTCCTCAAGATTCACTGGTAAGAATGTGTTTTCACA